AGAGAGAGAGAGAGAGAGAGAGAGAGAGAGAGAGAGAGAGAGAGAGAGAGAGAGAGAGAGAAAGAGAGAGAGGAGGGAAATGAGATAGCCGAAGCGAGATAGTGGGCGGGATAGCGGGATAGTGGGAGTGGCACACGACGGGATAGCGGGAAAGCGAGTTAGCGGAAAAGTGGGAGTGCCACACGACGGGATACCGGTGTCGGAGCAAACACCCTTACAAGGGTATTTGCTCATGATTCTGCATTCGATACAGTATCAACGCCGGTCGCCGTGCCGGAGACAGACTGGAGTAAAAAGTGAGAATTTTTTTTTGCTTGGTGCTGTGAAGCAAACTTCTCGACCATTGAGGCCAAGATTTCTAGGCGATCATATGCAGTGGTACGACGCATATGACAACAGGTACGGGTTGGTAAGAATTAAAAATCTCCGACCACAATGTCCGGAAGGTTGGAAGGAAAATAATAAGAAAGGTCACGCGGGATGCGTCGACCACGATCTAAATCTCTCAAAGATTAGGCGGTAAGGGAAAAACGAATTAGGTATAGTCTAGAGGCGTCGGACCGACCAGTACGGAAAGAATCTGCTGGTCGGGCCGCCGTAAGCTCGAAAGCAGACTGAAAATAATAATATAAGCCCCGGCTGCGCGGCCAGGGCAGCCAATAGAAATGTGCCACACCGCGCCAAGCGGCGACGACCGGTGTTGAGCCTCTATAAATGTCAACTGTTGTCTTCCTTTGCGCGGCCTCGAGTGCCGCGCACATCTACCTCTACTGGTGTGATACCGACATACCCGCTACTTGAGTGTTTTCCCTACCGCAACCCTCAATGTCACAGCCGCAGGTAAGTACCGGCTCTTCGGGCCTACCGGTGAATCAAGTACCCCTGCGGGTCACCCACACACTCAAGCCGACAAGCACTCAGACAGGCACGCAGACTGGCAAGCGTGCACACACGCAGACTTAGAAACGGGCTCAGGTCACTAAGTGGACTGAGCCCCAACACTCTATA